GTCCAAGCAGGCTGGTGGCAGCACCGGCGGCTTGGATTCTGGCAGCATCCTCCGAGAGGCAAGATCCAGCAACGGTCCGAGCACCATTGGGCCAGAACTCTCTGTCTTGATCCACATAACTCTTATATTTGTTTTTGCTATTTTAACACATTTTTAAACTTAAATTTTTATTTTAATATAATACCTGTCTATGGCTCAAAAGTAAACAGTACACAGAGCTTATAATAAAAAAGAGAGCACCCTTCTGCACTTCTGATTCCCACTGACCCAGAGACCTCGACTTTCAACGTTTTAATCTCTCTCTTTTGGTATTTTACTCCACATTTTTTTTTCCAAGATTTTATTTTGGGGATGGGGAGAGGCAGAGGGCAAGAGAGAACCTCAGGCAGGTTCCGTGTCCAATGGGGAGCCTGGTGTGGGGCTCAATCTCCAAACCCCAAGATCATGACCTGAGCCAATCAAGAGTCAGACACTTAACCGATGGAGCCACCCAGGCGTCCCACATGACTTTTTTTTTTTTTTTTTAATGTGCCTGTTGCTAATTAATCTTCACTCCCTGTGACAGCAATAAGATTCCTCTCAAACACGCTGGGTAACTATGAACTCAGTTTCTTCTCTGAGATTTACCTCTGGGAGCCCAGTACCCTCTGCTGTAATCTGTGGACTAGTTTTTCTTTAGGCCTGTTGCATAGCTGTTGTTCTGGACAATACCTTTGGTCAGAGAACTTCTTCTGCTTCTTTCCTGTTTTGGATTCTCAGTCTAAGTCATTCCATTTTGGTGAAACAAACTTTCCTTTCTTTCTAAGAGTGAATGAAAGGAAACTTTTGAGATGTTGCACATCAAAATGTTTTCATTCTATCCTCATGCTTATTCGACAGTATGGGTGAGTATAGAATTCTCAGTCAGAAATTATTACCCTGTAGAATTTTATTTTATTTTTTTAATGTTTATTTATTTATGAGAGAGAGACAAAGTTGTGAGCAGGGGAGGGGCAGAGAGAGGAAGAC